GTACCTTATATGCTTCTTTTTCCCATAGTAACATATTAAAATATTATCCTACGTTTGCTGAATTAAAAGGTAATCAAGGTAAATAAACATTTTCAAATCTTTCAGTCTGTTTAGGATTTATATGCCGAAAACAAAATTAATTTGCACAACTTCTTGTACAGGTCACTTTCAGTTTTAAAATAACAAGTTTTAATCAAATTAATGTTCGGGCAATGACATCGCTTTTTGTATATCATTACGCAAGGCGAGTAAGTGACTCTACTATGCCATCAAATGTTTTCCGGCAACAAGAAAATAAAGTTTCATTTATGTATTAGGTACCTGCATTTCACGCAAATGTAACAAAAATCAAAGTCTTTAAAAAGCTATTTAAACATTATAATTATGATCAGCATTATTTTGCATTGCCTTTTATTGAATTGAAGACTGATAGAAGAATAATTTTAGTATTCGTTTACCACCACGCAATTCTAGTCAGTAAATTAAATTAAGCGAAAATTAATAACTGAACATTGATTAGGAACATCAGCTTGATTGAACTAATGAGATCGGTGTTTAACCGCAATTCACTCTAGCATTATCGCAATACTTCCTACGAAGCATACCTACTTAGTAAACTACCAATAGGATAGAGCAATATACTGCACTAAGAATTTTTATTTTTGTAACTCGTTAGGAAATATAGGCCAAGCAGTATTTATTAATCATTCAATAGACGCAGCTAACAATACCGCAATCAATCATAATTTGCCAAATATTAGCTTTACAACAATCCGTCTTTGTTGACACGTTTGCAGTACTAGGTACTTATGTGTCAACATGTCTATTAACACAATTTACAATATTTATTATGGCAGTCGGCCAGATCGTATCGTTACAAGCATATTGTACTCCCAATTTGTAAATTATAGGCCTGAATAACAATCACATCGCTCACTATGTCAATACAACACCGAAGTGTAATTAGTAATCTACACACAGTAAATAATGTTTTAACGCCTTGTAATGACGTTTTGTAATACTTGTTTTTATAGAGATTGATTTGATTGATTTATCTACACTCCCGATCAAATTCGTAAGACAATTAATTGATCATCATACTGAAGTACAATAACATAATAAAGGTACGAGTACTAGCCGATAGATGAAGCAACCATTAATATTTTTTCACCCTCGAAAGGACTCTGTAATTTCAGTCGCCAGCTTTAAGTATAATTTTCCATCGCAATTTTTCAAACAATTAAGTAGTATTGTAGTGTTTAAGGCGGGTTTTTTATTAGTAAGGAAGAAGTAGGTACATCATTTCTTTGGAACTGTCTTAGTAGAATTATTTATACCTGTTTAATGCAGTATCTAGAATATTGTTTGTCCCTGAGCTATTTATATTAAGATCACAATAGCCATTTTAAATTGTGCGTGAGTTATCATGGTCACAGCATTAGAATTAACTCGATTTGTGTTTCGAGGGCTGCCCCGGAGGCCAAAGACTAATTAGCCACAGTTTGAAAGCGCTTTGTCTTTTCTTATATGCCTACACTTCCCACATGATTACTGCGCTACAATCATAATGATCTATGTGGAACAATGTCATAACTACTAGTATGGGAATTATCGATTGCAAGAGCGGAACCTAGGGTAGTTAGTTCGGTGTCGACAGCTATTAATTGGCTGGGAAAACATTACACATCTTTGGTAGAGGCATGTGTATTAAATGCTATATTTTTTCTTTTATCGAAGTTTAAAGTTCAATAACTTTACTTACTAGTTACTACGCATCCGAGTTATACCTACGTATAGAGGAAATTGGCCGTGTGGTGACGGCAGAGTAGAATACATTGGTCACCAACCCCTACTCTTCCCGCGGGTGTCGTAAGAGGCGACTTAGGGACTACACATCAAACAGAGAATGGGCAGCAGCGCTCTCTGAAAAACATCAATCTTTTAAACTGCGATCTCCAACCCGCCTGCCAAGCGTGGAGATTATGGCAAAACCCTCCACTATAGTGGAGGAGGCTCATAGTCCAGCAGTGGACTGTAAAGGGCTGTTGATGAATAGAGGAAATATCCCTGGAAAATTAAATTATTTCAAAGAGTTTCTTTTATTTTCATAATGATTTTATAATGTGGAAAACTAAATAACGAACATCCTTAAAACTTTCCTTCTCACAAATGATAGTTTACAAGAAATGTGAGAAATAATTTGTTAAATTAAATATCATTTAACTTTGTTTGATGAATCATAATAAAATAAAGATGACTGACTAACTAAAGTATTCTAATCTAGCGTAAGTATGTTTTGCCGCAACAACACAATTAATAGCATATTAAGTAGAGCATTTAGGCTTATTGATGCTCATATTGCGCTATTCGTAAGCAATGCGATGCTAATAATGCAAATATTGATGGTAGTTAATAGAAATAGACGTGTTAATAATTACATAGCCAGTGATCTATGAAACAACTTCCTCCCTTCGTTAGAACGTGCATTGTTCCAGCGTGTTTGTAAACACATAACGGTTCAATTTACCAGACAATGAACTATTGTTTAACTCGGATGATAAGTATTACCCAATTACGGTGACATTTTTAATATTTGCCAACAATAGCGGATATTGCTCTCAAGGGTAGGTAATCAATTAAAATACGTAATTAACATTTTGTTTATCCGGTGGATTATGATTGGTATAATTACTTCAATAACTAGATAATTCTACATCCTGGGATGCTTAGGACACGCATTGTTTAGATCTTTACGTTTAATTTGTATTACGTTCTGATAACGCAACGAAAACAAAACTTTATCTTGCACACAAATAAGTTAATATTTTCATTTTCACATTTTCATTTTTCACATGTATCGTTTTTAAACTTTTCATTTACTTTATGTGACATCAAAGTTCATCAAGCTTAAGTGATTTTGATCACTCTTTAAAAACAAATGCCCTACCTAACAATTGCAGCCAGTTTTCTCTTAAACCAAGTTTACGAGTACAAGCTACCCAACTGATTATGATAAGTCCCGCATCCATCCTAGTAGTGAACACTGTTAGGTTTGTCTAATGGGGTACGGTTGCTGTAATCTATATTAATAATTTCGTCAAGGGGTACGGTAGACTGGATCGAAACCTTATATGAATAACAAAGCATAAAAAAATATCGATTTTGAGTCGACAACATATATCCGCAAAATTCGGATAATGGAGAATTTCGTTAAATTCCGATGGCACTGACAAACAATTTTAAACAAACCGCTGTCGCCATCTTTAGTAGTTCACTATCCACTCACTATGCGATCAGCGCCAAAACCTTACTACCTCTTTGCTGGGTTGTCATCGATCCATAAATAAATGGAGATCAGTGCGTTTCGCGATTTTTATGATACACTCTTTGTTATGTGTTTTTTCTTTTAACCTTATATTGGCCGATTCAACCACAGAAAAAGAATATTAGCCATAACCATAAAAGTTGAAGTTCAAATGTCAATGTCATTTAGTTTCGCACAGTGATAAATTCCAGTGACATGCAATTTTTGTATAGTTCCAAAATACTGGACTGTCCTGTCGATGACATTGACAGTGGGGCGCCACCGTCAATACCGGATCGCTGGTTCAGATTTTTGCCATGTTGGAAACCATATAGTTGAACGATGGTAGCGCCCCCCTGTCATTGAGTTTGGCGGGACAGTTCAGCGTGGGTCATCTATAATGGCAAAATATTTGTAAGAAACTGCAAACAAATTCAAATGTGCAATCGATATGTGGAATGCGACAACATTATACTCGGTAAGCGGCTTAATATTTTTTTTATTTAACCCGACAAATNCTATATAATTCAGCATTTGCAATGGCATCCATTAATTCAAACTTGAACACATTCCCTCCAGGGGCTCCAGGAATTTTCACTTATAGGGTACAAGGACAAATTTATATAAAAAAAAACTGGATCTTTGGTTCCGTTGCAAGGTCATAAACCACAATACAACCAATTGTATATAATTGAAGATGAAGCAGCCTTAAATGAAAGATTATCCGATTCTAGAAATAACATATGTAAAAGCAATATAATGAGATCCTTACAAACAATGCTCAATGAATTCAATCCTTTTGTCAAAGTATACAATAAAAAAAAAAAAAAACCGACTCCAAAAAACCTACACTAAAACGTAGAAAAATAATTACTAATTACCTACTTATTTATTAGGACGAATTATTAATATTTATGTAGGTATACCATGATTGATACTTCTGGAGTCGGTGCCAAGATTATGAAACATGTAAAGTTTGCCTGCACCGACTCCAAAAGTATCAATCATGGTATACCTACATAAATATTAATAATTCGTCCTAATAAATAAGTAGGTAATTAGTAATTATTTTTCTACGTTTTAGTGTAGGTTTTTTGGAGTCGGTTTTATTTTTTTTTATTCGAGTTCGTTTCGTTGCGTATTCAAAGTGTCATCGAAAAATTTTGTATGAAAAATTAAACAGCGCCCCCTAGGGCGGCTATAATATAGGGGGCGCTGTTTAATTTTTCATACAAAATTTTTCGATGACACTTTGAATACGCAACGAAACGAACTCGAAAGTTTTTCCTACTAGAGGTACTGTATAATTTTTAAGTTTCATTGATAAGTAACTTAATTTTTAATATTATATCTGATGGTGGTAACATTGTTATAAAGTCCTTCACGAATAAATTAAAAGCAGTTAATTGAAGTGAATGTAGTTGTTGTGCCATACCATTCAATACATTGGATTTTGTGCTTTTCTGAAAGGTGAGTGAATTTTATTGTCTTATCAATATGTCCAGTTAGACACAATTAAAACTAGTAATTAAATGTTAATTAATATGTACTACATTTGTCAAACTTCTGAGTTCAAACAAGAACAGATTTTAGAAAACTCCCGATGCATAACTTCATAAACAAAATCACAAACATGAAACGTCACACAAAACTTTCTTCACAAACTTTATTTGAACTCAAATGTTTTATTATGTACCTGAAAAGTTTACGCCGTGCTTGGGCTATCGGCAATCAATGAACACGTGATTGTGAGCGCGAGCGAGGGATCGAAACGCGAGTGGCGCGCACGCTTTCGATAACTACTGAGGAGCGGTTACTTCGCGTGCACCAAATTTACTCGCCCCTCTACGACATGGCACCTCAAAAGTAAAAGTGGTTGATCCCGAAGGCGTGGTCGCTAAAAGCCGTGACTCGACATTACGTCGAGCCAAGCTTATTACAACCAAGGTGCGTGATTACCGATCGTGATACCAACTTCACGTTTTTGTCTACGCCGGAAATGTCAAGGTCGATCCGGTTAGGCACCCTTGCATAAAAAAAACAATTATACAAACAACAAAATTGACTGAATTCCAAATAATTAGCCTAGCGTGAAATTTTGATTTCTCTATGCTTATGCTTACATTCTTATTTTTCCGTGTCAATTGATCCAAAAGACATCTAAAATAATTGCCTCAAATATTTTAGATATAAATCCTTAACTCATCTTTACTACTCTCCATATAAAACGGCTCTTTAACCAGCTGACCCCATTCCAAGTTGATAACGCAAGAAGAGTTAACTAGATAATTTTCAGATTTCCCATTTAATCAGGGATCAGTTCCCGATTAAAAACATTCATTAGGTAACTAGATAGAGCAGCCTCGGCTTGACTACAGGGCCATAAAACGTGGCACCATTATATGATTATATCAATATAACAATAATGGCGATTAAAATTGCGTACGTATGTGCATTGATTAATGCAATCGTAAATTATGTGCACAACGTTGAATGCAGTTCCCAGGCATCACACAATCGAACCTTTCTGTGATCGAATGTAATCACATGACATCGAAAGAGAAATAGGAAACATGAGCCCAGCCCTCCAAAGAGTTTATGTGCCTGCAGATAACCAGAGCGGAACCGATTTCGGATTGTATCGATTTACATTTCGAACTCGTATGCCCAAGCAGATTTCGAAACTCTCCGATTGTATAATACCTATCTAGAATCTCCTTTAAATTCAACCCAGAGGTTTCGCTAAATTACTTCCTAGCTTTCTTCTGTGTGCCTACCATGAGTTTACGTTAGGTGTGCTCGCTAGCGACTGCGTAAAAAAATGACATTTAAATGTATGACATATTGTGCAGCGCCCCTAGCGGCTACTTTCAAGAAATAAAATCTTCATATAATTTTTTGACGTATTCGCTAGCGAGCACACCTAACGTAAACTCATGGTAGGCACACTGGTCGAATTGATCTATATCTATTAACGATTACTGTCTATTTGGTACATACCTTTGTCTTGACTCTACATATTTAAATTTTTAGTTAATTAGACGAAAAAATTTAGTAATTTCACAACTAGCAATAACTAACCAGCAACATACTGCTAAATCGATGAGCCAAGAGCTTCCTCGTTGGAGATAAAAATAAAAGTGTTTGAAAAAATATATAAATGAGCCGTATGTTATGAATAATATAACGATATTGAATACCAATAGGATGCTTTTGAATTTATCCTTAGTTACTATTTTATAACCTACTGAGAATTAATACCAGAACTCCACATAGATAGAAACTCTTTATTGTACACCACACAATGCTGATAATCCCAGGAAACGCAATCAGTTGGTCTAGATTACAAATAGTATTAGTGGTATTAGTAACAAAATATTAATTACAAAGGTTGTTACGAAAAAATTGCTTCATGATGTAGAGCCAATAATGTCTACCGTCAGCAACTAAAACACTAGTCGTATGTAACTAAATAGGATCGTCTTACCGATTTAACTGTGTTTTAGAGTATAAAGTTACAGTCAGATAAGAATAAATGTTTGATCATGTATTTTATTTTTATTAGTGTCAATTATTAAGTACTTGCCGCACTTTGATTGCAAGCATTTGCAACGCTTTATTGTTAAATAGTTTTAAGGTCGAAAAGGCTGCTTCATCAAAACCTCTTTTAGGGTAGGGAATGGGAAAACTAAAAGACATCTCGGCTTGACAAAATATGCAGTAGAGGATTTTTTTAGATAGATGATTTGAAATTCCGTCAAATATTTCAACACCTTAAGTAAGAATTACAGCAATTGGGTTGGGTCTACCTACTTCGTACGTATTCCATCTTCATACGAATATTTTACTTGGAATAGGTACTAAATTGTTTCCGGATTAATGATTTTCACCGAAATCTTATTTTAAATAAGCACCTCTCGTACACACTTTATTCAATTTCGACACCTAATCTCTTTACTGAACTTAACTCACGAACACGGACACGGCGACTTAGATTAACATTTTACCTACAAAAATTAGTTCGCAGCGTCCGCTTCTGAAAGAAAAACTGATGTACGAATTTATGTTTGACACCCGTAATATTATCAATTTGCGAGTAGTAAGTACCATACTCAGCGACGTCATTGGGGTCCCTTGTATATTACGCAACTTAAGCAAACAATGCGTGAGTGCGACCTCAAGAAATTGCTGCTAAACACATTTTTGCATAAAATTGTTTTATCACAAGTTGATTAATCACTGGTTATTCAAACGAATCTTAACATTGAGAAAGAGAAACAATACCTAAATCTTATCACTTCAAACACAATGGCTTGTAATTGTGCTGGTAAGGGTTTACAACCATTTAGCGTTGAATTTATCCTGGTAATTAGAAGTAACTTTTTTCAGGTTGCGTGATACTGATTTTCCTTGTATTTTATGCCAAGGATATTGGACGTCTTATTAAAAATATATTTTGTTAATAATACGTTAAAATTTGCAATAAAATACTATAAGTACTTAAAGAAATACGTTTCCTACTTTATTTACTAATTGAGTAAATTATTATTTTATACATAAAAATAACGCGTTGTAGGTTCTCGTGTTTTCCTATTTTGGAAGCAACTCATTCGACCTAGTACCACAGAATAATAATAAGTACTACCTACGTACAGAAGTTTTACTTCGCGAAGGTATTTAAAAAAAATATGCTCAATGTCATTAACAATATGGTGTAATTTAGCCTGTCTCAAGAGTCAAGCACCATTTTGTTGACAAACGTCAGTGATCGGCACTGCGCCGAAGCTATAGGGCTGACTTCGGTAAAATGATGTGACTTGAGGTGCCAAACTGCGGAAAATGGCGAAGGAAATACATGATTTAGCATGAAGTATCATGAATAATATTAACTACTTATTTACCTCTCAAGTGTCTTGAGGCAACTTAAAAAAGTACATTCTGTGTTTTTATTATTATTTAGGCAGTTAAATACTGCACAGTTTTAGTACACCATTTTCTTTATTTTCTTCCAACATACACAAGAATATGCGTGCGTGAGTCAATGTTCGCTCGTATGTGAGGCCTTGTCGAATAGTATCCTGTAGGTGGGCCATCGTGCGTGTTTTGTTTTCGATGTAAACTCGCGGAGATGAACAGGCCTGCTAGTACTATAAGTACGACCTGGTATGAATACTCTTTTTATTCTTCTGATTTATTGCCACGCAAAATATTACCTACATGTGTTAAAATATCAATTATAATAATAAAATTAAAATACAAAGTACAATTCTGAAATCAAACAAAGTTGATAAAAATAAAAAATTTCGTGAACTGTGAATTTTCGTTGCATTCAAATATGTATTTTAAATCAGAAACACAACTGAAAATAGCAGTTACCCAGCAAGAGAAAGGTCTTCGGATCAGTTCTCATCTTAGTCAGTTCAAGTTTTATATTATTTTGAGATACATAAATATGTAATTATGTTTATCATTAATGCAAAAATAGAACAACTATAGTAGAGTTACTGTAATTGTAACTTGTCTCTAATTGAATATGTAAGTATATAACTGTAAAGAGTTGCATAATTGTTACTAAAAATTGTTTGGCGTCAAAAATCATTTTAAGAAATTACTTGTTTAACATACTAGTTTGAGAGCTTTATGAAGGGTGTCCAAGAATGTTGGCACTAATTAACGAAATAAATGTGTAACATTACAATGTATTGAATGCTGAGGTATTATCTCTCTCAAATTGTCACAAATTGAAGGGCATAGTGACGCAGACTGTATAAATGTTATAGTTCGGGAAATACCTGCACCGTATTGGTCGGGAGAGGACACCTCAATGTCACCATTGTGGCGCCGATGTCGATACAGCGGAGCACACCTTGGAAGACTGCCCGGAATGGACACAACAAAGAGCTGCGCTATGCGCAAATATCGGACTGGATTTAACACTGCCGGCGGTGGTTAGAGCCATGGTCGGCAGTGACAACGGATGGGACGCGGTGAAAGTCTTTTGCGAGACTGTTATGTCGGCAAAGGAGGAAGCCGAGCGAGCCAGGGAGGTAGATCCCCTCGCTGACCCTGCTCGGCGGAGAAGGTTTGGCCGGAGGCGACGTGCTTTTGCGCGTCGTCTCTGACACCTAGTCAAATACTAGTCATAGCGTAAGGTCCATTATGAGTGCCGGCGGATAGACCTTTTACACCTACCCGCTGGCCTCCATTGTATATTATGTAAATATAGATAAGCACTTTGTACATTTGTATATATCATTTGTATATAGTTGTATATCTCTGAGTGGTCAGTTGCAGTACAACAAACTATAACTATAAAAATCAAAGATGGCGTGGTCGATGTTGGAGTCTGCACGCATAGCAGACGGTCTGCGCATAGGTGGAACATGTCGGGAAAGGCCTCGCTACACCGGCTCCCACCTGTGCTCAGCGAGACGGAGATGGTGGATTTTTAGTGGGTAGGCCCCTCCCTTCTGGAGGGGAGAGCCCCACATAACCCGCCGCCTGACCACAGTGGCGGGTATGCAACTCAATGCATTTTTACCACCGAAAAAAAAAAAAAAAAAAGGTAGAGAACTCAAGAGTGTTGGTGACAGATCGGATGCACCTACCGACGCGACCTAGGGATCACTAAAAACAGGCAAGTAGATATTATTTACTTTACTCTTTGGGCAAGTAGATAATCTAAACACGAATTAGATGAATTCTATTACTAATTAGATGAGTTCTGTTGGAAAGATTTAACTCTTAGAAACACAACATCCTGTAAAGCATTTGTGAACTTTAAAACAAAACAAGGAACCAGTCTACTTATGTAGATTAGCACTAAATCGAGGGTCATACACCTTAAGCAAAGTTTATCATCTGGTATTGGCAAATTACAAATTAAGTAATTTATGTAGTTAGGTAGTTAGGTATCTTGTTTCGGATATTTAACTTAACGGCCATGCAACTCGAGCAGAACAGGTTATAGATAAATAATATCAACTGTTAATCTATTACAGCAATGATTAGAAGCTATTGATTGATACTTTACTTACATTTTGATTGCAAAATAGCATCTGCATCTGCATTTTATATGCACTGTGGTCTAGGGGTCTGACCACCTGCTTCAGATCCAGAGGTCCCGGTTTCGATTCGCAGTGGGGGCAGTTTTCTGTTCTGATGATTGATTTTTTCTAAGTCCTCCTGGTAAGTCCAAAATCTTAGTAAGTCTGCCGCCATAACAACCAATGTTAACAGCATTGTTGTGTTCCGCTAGTTTATTTATTTTTATTTTATTTTTAAAGTTAAAGGTAAGATAGCCAGTTCGTCTGTGGTTGTCGATTCCGGGTGAAGCTCCTTCAGCGGTGAGATGTAGGCCAAGAACTTCCTCGTTGTGGATAAAAAAACCCAACGCAAGAATAGAATAAGATAATGAAGAGTTTTATCCCCACTTTTGTGAATGTCCCATTTTTTTTTTAGGTACCTAATAGAACAACTTTTGATTTACCTATCAACATTTATAAATAAAACACTACTTTGAATATTTCGAAAACGACAACATCATTAAACATTAATTGCAACACCTGTATCTAATATAAAATACATTATTTTTATGTGATATGTACTGAATAATGATACTGATAACAGTATTTACTCGTTTGACCGCTGAGCTATTTGCCCACAGGGTATGATTTTAATTCCATGCAAATAAATATGTCAATGTTTTGTAACTAAACTCCACTATAAAATTATTTTGTACTAAGTACCAATTACCATAGATACGTACTTATAATTTAAATGGATTAACGGGTATCCTTCCGTTTGGCCAAATTACTTTTCGCCAAATTTCACTTCGCAAACAACTTATCGCCAAAGTTTCATTTCCCAAATGAACTTTTAGCAAATGTACTTTTCGCAACTATTTCATTTGGTCAAATTATCATTTGGTCAAATTTTACTTGGCAAATGTTTATATAGCAAATGTTTTATTTTGCCAAATATTATATCCCAAATAATTTATTTGGTCGAATTGACACTTCACATGCTTACCCACCGTTACCCACAAATCAAAGCACAAGGCAAATTATCATGGTTTTCACAAAAATTTTATGTAAAACAAAGAGATTGCAGAAAATAGTATGGATGCGAAAGTAGGTTTTGCAGAAAATAGTAGGTTAGGTTAGGTTAGAACAGTGACCCTTTAACGCGCGAAGGCGAGCGAAGCGTGCCGCGGCAGCGGCCGCCGAGCGCTAGAATCACCTCTATAGTTAATTAATCATTTAGTTTCGATAAAAATAATGAAATATGAAAATAAATTTAGAACAAATTTTATATTAACTACCCACTAAACAAAATAATAACCACAAGCTAATTTGTATTCCATTCTATGCACCAATCAAATTATTTTGTAAATAGTTTATCGTGAAATATTTTTGCCAAATGAAACATTTGGCAAAACATACTTTGCCAAACAATAATTTGCTAAACAATAATATGCCAAAAAAGACATTTGCGAATTAAAAGTTTGCAATAAGTTGTTTTGCCAAATGAGAATTTGCCAAATGAAAATTTGCGAAACGTTGTTTGCCATGTGATAATTTGGGAAACGTTTTTTGGCCAAACATTAGTAATCCGGATTAACGAGATAGGTCAATTATTTTTTTAATTTATTGACCAAGTTGTGTGTGCCTATTAGCAAATCTCGTTTACATTTAAGATTAATGTCATTTAATCTGAATATTTCGTACTACTTTCACATATTTAGTAAGTTACAATGTCTTTAAATTTTAGGAAACTGAATAAATTTAAAAAAAAATGATGATTTTCGTCAGTAGTTTCGTCGCCTGACCTCAAATTATTCACATAAGAAGCGAATTTTCTTATCAGTGCCTCAGTGGTAATTATCGGTCTATACAATTTATGCTTTCACTGCTTTCTATCTATCTACATTATAAAGGGAATAGATTTGATTGTTTCAAGGCTAGGCACGAAATCTTTCACCATTATAATTCTACATTTTCCCATGAACATAAGTTATTTATAGAATATGCAAGGATAAAGACATTCTGTGACGAAGCTGCGGGCAAAGCTAGTTTATAAATAGCATATAATAGGACCTATAATTTAGAATGTTTGAATGAACTACAATAACACAATCAAGGCAAACCGCAACTTTCTATTAATTGATTTTAAATGGAATTGATCTTAATTGATATACAATTTAAACATAGGTTGGATTGTACAATAAAACCAGTGCGTGTGTGTGTACATAACACATATATTTTAACATAACGTGGTGAAATTATAATAAACATCTTTAAAATAAAACAACGAACGTAATACAAATATTCGAAATATTGACGACCTATGTAATATTTCTATAATTGAAACGATGTTTTGATAGAAATATAAATCGAAAAACACGGGTCACATTACTGTCGAAACAATGCGTACCTACATCTCTTGATCGAATAGAATGTATCATTAGGTCGTCACTTCCTTTAACTATACAAATAATTAAGATAACAAAATATAAGTTACATAATTTTGTACAAACGTCGATTACATTCTCAGTGGAGATAATTAGTCTACACCAACAATATTTTTATGAGTTTAAGGTAACTAGGCGACGTTCATACGTTTATTAAAACTGAGAGCGATCCATTTACCCTTAAATTACAAACATAAAATGTATGATGAAATGTTCAATTTTGTGCTTAGGCTGATAGAGATATACTTAAAGTAAATTAACCAATAAGTTCAATGGATTCACACCGATCCTGACTATTAAAAATTCACTGGAAAGAGGAGAGGCCTAAGCTTATTTTTTTGAAAATTTATATTAGGCCACTAACTATTGCAACATCACTATCAACTTGTCTTTTATAAAAGAAAAATAAAATAATTTCGTTATATCCTATAGTGCGACACATACAGAAAGCAGGAGCGCAACGGAACGTATGCACGACGCGAGTCGGGTCAAGCATATACGTTTAGTTTTTAGTTTTTACATTTGGTATCGATCGTACTTGACGCGTAGGAGTGCACGGGTCTGACGCGGAACGGTTGCCATAACACTATTGTGTAGAAAAGATTAAATTCTCCTATTTTGTAAATTTATTGAAAAATTCACAAAATAGATATGTTGTCCCACTTTTTGTACGCGTCACCCCTAAACTAAAGCTGCGCGGTATCCAACATTTTTGACTGCATTTATTATTATATGATTCCAAAATATTTACAACTTAATTTTGTTATGAGAGTATCATTTTATATTCCGAAACGAATATTTTATAAAAACAATATAAGGCGAATATATAAACAAAAATATTTTATCAAAAAATCATGATAGTAATCAATCATATCACAAAATAATACCTTGATGTAAATTATAATTTTAATGTAAGCAGTAGTAGTGCCTATTTATATTACTCGATTATTAAATACAAATAAAATTAATTTATATCACAATAATAAATTATATGCATTATCAAAATCCAATGACATAAACTTCATTGTGATGAACGTCAGCAATTTGTAATTTGTTAATTTTAAAATCACAACATCCCTAGGGCCAAGGCACAAATGTGTTTTATTATGAAATTCGATTATTACGCCCGTTAGCTACGATCATACATTAAACATGTGTGAAATATCTACATTTTATTATATCATGTTACATTTATATTCTTCAATATACATATAGAACAATATTATGACATACGGTCAAGCTATGCTCATTGGGAACCTTAGTACTGAGAATGTTACACATTAATTATACCTATGACCCTGACTATGTGTTGGTCAGCGGCGGCAACCTAAAATAAACCTATCACCATCAAACGAAATGTTTTTCACATCTATTGGGCATTTATTTTAGTTTCCTAAAAATACGCTGACCTCGAGTCTATAGCAGGGCTATACCATACGTAGAAAAATGTTACCAGTTTAAAAATGTTTTTATTTGAGGAAGACAACCTGCACGATAATTATTATAATATGGAAGCTTGGTCCTTCTTATTCATACAAGAAATGCTCTATTAAGAATGAAGAACTACTTAATTTATGTCAGCTGCCTTCCTCAATTTGAGTATCTGTAGCCAATCTTTGGTAAGTAAATAAATGTAAGGAAAATTAAGGTTACATAAAACATAGTATATTATAAGTAACTCAACCACAATTCAACAATGAATAAATGAAATAAGAAAAGAGCTTCGAGAATAGGTCTAGTTGACTTTTAAAATCATCAAGACTTATTTTTTGCTTGAATCTCTTTAATTATTTCAATAAACTATTATAATCAACCAGTAAAAGAATAAAATAACCTGCAATAAATAAGTCATATACTAGAAGCCTCTGATCGTTCTCTCGTAAACTAACTGGGACTACTGCAAACGCAAATCACTGTATCTCGTCTTGTAGACGAATTCGCGTCAACTACAAGCAACCAGATCTACATTGGGATATAAAATTATAAAAGAACTTAATTGCGTACTTCTTTCGTAAATAAGCTGCTCTCATGTGGATATTCGAGTTTTCCAAACTGATGATTTCTCACCTGTGAACAAAATCGATACACTTATGAGTCGTCTATGTTGTATGAATGACATAATATAATAATTTCTACGTAAAAATTTTTACTAAAATTAACAGGCATACTTTTCTTTTTGGTATGGTAAGGAAGAACATTGATTGCTAATCTATAAGTCTAGGATTACAGTATCTCGCGTATACATACCAGTTCTATGAGATTCCCCTGTTATGTGATTCCCGTGTCTCGGGACGATGTACTTGGACTCTTGGAACATCGACAGCATCAGCTCTTCGGTGGTGGGGTGGTACTCGACGCCGTTGATGCTCGCTACAAGCGGGGAACTTTCGTAGTTGCGGTTGGCGTCCCGGGAAGGCGCGGCGCTGCCCCGCGCCGGGTAGTCCACCGACCGCGGCCGCCTAGAGTCCACGGGAGTCATCTTAGGGTTCACGTGCACATCCTTATGGATATACGGCTCGGTGGACGCACTCGAATCGTTCTCATTCGGATCTTTGTTCGTTCTGTTGCCGTTCACCTCGACAATCAAAGGTCGTTGGAGCGTCGGAGATTGGATTATAGACGCGTTGTGAACCACCGTCGTCGTTTGAATCACTGGGGGCGGCGGTTCAGCCATGCTGTCGTCGGGAAGGCTCTCGACGCTCCTCGATAGCGGACTGTTCGTTGGCGCTGTCACGTCCGATTCGGACTCCGCTTCGTTGTTCTGCACCTCGATTTTCGGATCGTCGGCGTTCTCCTCTTTGACCTCTGTGAGTACTTCGGGCTTCTGCCGCACATACTTGGGCATGCGCAACGCCCAATGTCCGTTGTGATCGTCCACGGTACACGAGTGTGTCACGTTCGGCCTCTTGCGCCTATAGAACAACATGTAAGCGGTGTTATTGACGAGTTCGCTGTAAGCATCCTCGTCCTCGACGGCCGTAACTCTAGAATCGTCGAATTTGTACCAGTGGCCGTCGTAGGGATTCTTGCAAGCTGCTGTGTAGTGACCGGTTTCTAAATCGTCGCCGTGGTGGTAGCAGATAGCGTACAAATCATACATGTTCTCGTTGGGGCCGCCGGCGGGCGTTTTCGAATGCCTTCGCCGGGGAGAGCGCGAGTGGCTCGGCGATTCAGCGCCAGTTGAATTCCGTCTGACAAGATGGGGTGTCATGTCAAAGTCGTTCAGCGGGAACTCGACCATTGTCGTTAATTTTGTACTTGTGCGTCCTTTTGCTTGCCTAAAACAATTAATCAATTCATTTAAAATCTACAGTTAAGAGATAGAAATGCAATATTTTTATAATAACTTATCATACTCACTGTCGAAACCTCTTCAAATGAATAACAAGGATGTCAGGTAGAGACCACAGTCCTAAAGTTTTCACAACAGGCATATATCGTTGACATTGCGGGCACCTGAAAATAAGCTTTTGTTATTATTTAGTTCTATACGATGTGATGTGAATCCCGAGACTGGATAACAAAATGCATAAGCATTTAAGCATTAATTCGCCAGCGAGACAAAGACGGGAGTCAGATATTTTAAGTCAAGTAACCCGCCGCGGTCTCTTCTCTCTACTGCTTTACCGCTTTTTCCTATGGAAATGTCTACAGGGTGGAAACGATAAGTGATCTCACTCGATTATCTCTAAACTATACCAGATATCGAAACACTGGTTAGTGATTCTGAAAATTCAATGTTTGAAGCTGGTTATATTGAATTTTCGGATAGATCCAGTTTATTCTGTAACCTATATTGATACCGTTTGATAGAGCTTGTGAAGCACTTTCAAGATCAGAAACCAGTTTTTCGATATCTGGTATAGTTTAAAGATAATTGAGTGAGATCACTTATAAGTTTCCATCCTGTATTATAACCTGTTTCCAACATGGCGAAAATCGGAACCAGCGATCTGGTATTGACGGTGGCGCCCCTCTGTCAATGTCACTGGTGGGAGACAGTTGCTATCTCGCACACTCACTGCGGGTGCCAGTCGCACAGTCGCGACAGCAATATAATTACGCGCGAGCGATAAGGATGGGTAGCTAGGGGTCATTGGGCAAAATTCTATGTGCTCACGGACCGGGCTTTAGTTCACGAGCGAGACAGATACGGGATATACCTAAGTCAAATAATCCGCCGCGGTCTCTTCTCTCGGTCACGCTTTAACTTTTGTCGATTTCTCCTATATAAATATTGATCGCTCATTTTTTCTCGCTCATTCATTGACCTCCAGGCGTCCTCGGCGCCGCGCCCGCCGCCGACACGTGCACCTCGCACGCCTCGCCCATGCTCCGGCTGATGTAACAACACTCGAGTGTCGCTGTACTGCGGACACTCACCTCCAGGCGTCCTCCTGCGCCAGGTGCTCGGCGCGCGTGTAGTGCGCGAGGCAGGCGTGCAGCGTGAGCGGCGCCGCGCCCGCCGCCGACACGTGCACCTCGCACGCCTCGCCCATGCTCCGGCTGATGTAACAACACTCGAGTGTCGCTGTACTGCGGACACTCACCTCCAGGCGTCCTCCTGCGCCAGGTGCTCGGCGCGCGTGTAGTGCGCGAGGCAGGCGTGCAGCGTGAGCGGCGCCGCGCCCGCCGCCGACACGTGCACCTCGCACGCCTCGCCCATGCTCCGGCTGATGTGACAACATTCGAGTGTCGCTGTACTGCGGACACTCACCTCCAGGCGTCCTCCTGCGCCAGGTGCTCGGCGCGCGTGTAGTGCGCGAGGCAGGCGTGCAGCGTGAGCGGCGCCGCGCCCGCCGCCGACACGTGCACCTCGCACGCCTCGCCCATGCTCCGGCTGATGTAACAACACTCGAGTGTCGCTGTACTGCGGACACTCACCTCCAGGCGTCCTCCTGCGCCAGGTGCTCGGCGCGCGTGTAGTGCGCGAGGCAGGCGTGCAGCGTGAGCGGCGCCGCGCCCGCCGCCGACACGTGCACCTCGCACGCCTCGCCCATGCTCCGGCTGATGTAACAACACTCGAGTGTCGCTGTACTGCGGACACTCACCTCCAGGCGTCCTCCTGCGCCAGGTGCTCGGCGCGCGTGTAGTGCGCGAGGCAGGCGTGCAGCGTGAGCGGCGCCGCGCCCGCCGCCGACACGTGCACCTCGCACGCCTCGCCCATGCTCCGGCTGATGTGACAACATTCGAGTGTCGCTGTACTGCGGACACTCACCTCCAGGCGTCCTCCTGCGCCAGGTGCTCGGCGCGCGTGTAGTGCGCGAGGCAGGCGTGCAGCGTGAGCGGCGCCGCGCCCGCCGCCGACACGTGCACCTCGCACGCCTCGCCCATGCTCCGGATGATGCTATAACAACCAAAATCAAAATCAAATCAAAATCAAAATTTTTTATTCAATTTAAACCACAAGTGGCACTTATGAACGTCAAAATATAGTAAATAAAAAAAAGGTAGCCCTTATGGGGCACTTTACATGTCTCCTTATCTTTTAGGCCCTACCAGCGCTTCGAGACAAACATTATGGCAAGAGCTGAGAAGAAACGCGGGAACAAACTAAAATAAAAATATTAAAATATTTCATTATTATAACTCTTTCGCCGCGTTTTCCGGTACGTCCACCCACAAGGTGGACCGACGACATCATAAAGGTAGCAGAAAGGCGCTAGACGCAGGCCGCTACCAACCGGGCAACATGGAAAGCATTGCGGGAGGCCTATGTTCAGCAGTGGACGTCCTATGGCTGAGATGATGATGATGATAACTCTTTCGTAAGTGGACCAATTAAGGACTGCCTATCCACGGAAGCGGAACGAAATGGGCAGAGCGGTGAGCGAGGTAAAATTCAATAGAATTGCATCTCAGCCCCTTTTCAGTGGACAGTTAAAAAATTCATACAATACCGGAAAGCGGAGCGGGAAAGTGAGCCGGAGAAGCGGAGTGGGGAAACTAATTGATCCTTTATGCACTCGCGACCTAGCTCCGCGTAACGAAAACTCTCCGCAACTACGCTGCGTATACATTCTTACTCCGCTCCGTTATCTAGCTCTGCGACTAATGGTGCGTCCACACTGGGCGAACGGGCTCGCGCGGCAAGCTTGTCATCCTGCTCATCCTGCTCTTGAGTGAGCAGGATGTCGAGTTTGCCGCGCAAGCCCGTTCGCCCAGTGTGGACGCACCATAAGGATAATGACGTCATACCTGTCCCTGTGCGCCGGGTCCCAGAGCAACTCGAGCCGAAGGTGCGGGTGCTTGTCGTGCGCGCAGAGAGCTTGCTCGACGTCCAGCGCGAACAACGGGTGCGGTAACTGCAACAAGTTACATTCACAGTTCTTAAAATGTCAGTATTGTTCAGTTTTCAACACGTTTTTATTTTGACAACTTAGGTGACATGTAACGTAGGCTATAAGTGACATGTAATGTAGGTCATCCGTGACACTTAATACATTAAGTGTCACGGATACATTAAGTGTCACGGATACATTAAGTGTCACGGATACACGGCCTACAGGCCGTAGGTGACATGTAATGGACCATAGGTGACACGTAAATGTAGGTAATAGATTGTCATCTATTACGTGTCCGTAATGTAGGCCGTAGTTGTCATGTAATGTACCAGTGTTGGCAAAAAGTTAATCTGATTAATGATTAAAAATTAATGATTAAAATCATAATCAAATTTTTTTGATTATGATTAGTTAATCATTAATCAAAAATTTTGATTAAGATTAAATAATCATAATCATTAATCGTTAATTTGATTATTTGATTAACTATCTACTATTTTCATAAGAAAAGGGTTGAGGGTGTATGAAAAGGTACGCGCGACTCATAAAATGTCTAGCAAAGGGGGGATCTGGAGTTGTACTGTCGTTTTCCCAAAAAACTGCGTCAATTTTCACTACTCAAAACACTTATCGCACTAGTTTTGTTTCTCACAATCCCTTCTATTCTTCCGGTATCCTCCAGCAAAATTGGGTCAGGAAAGAAGTTAAGCGGGCTGGCTGACGATAGGGGAGAAGTCCCCCCNCTACTTAAATGTGTCAACTGTGTGAAGTTTGCACTCGAAGTGGTGTAACAGGGTGTGAATGTGTGCGTGCCGGCCTGTACGTACAGGCAAGCTGGTGTATCCTAATGTCACAGTATTTTGTTGATGAGAATCCGTCCGACTTTTTTTATAGGTCCATGATTACACACATCTTGGCAAAGACCTGGACAAACATCTTTGCAAATGTTTGTTGTACAAACCTTAGCTTTGCCCAGGTACAAGTGCATCTTCTGGTTACTGGTAGGCAGCGCTTCCAGCTCATAACTCCTCATTCGGTATAATTCAAGCTGGAAGGCAGAAGCCGGTTCAAGATGGCGGTAGATGGTATCTTCAATGAAGTCGTTGCGAGCTCGGTACGTGAAGAATTTGGGGAATTGACGCCTGCGAAAGAAAAATTGTGTGAAAAAACAATACAATAAAATAAATAAGTAAATAAAATAAAAGTAACCTATGGAAAGAGACAATGGACATGGCGCACAATTTTTGTTGAAGATGCCAAAAAATACTACAAAAAATTAGAATGAATACTGTATTTTTACTTTTTTGATATCTTTAAAAATGACTGAAATATTCAAGCTCAAAGTGCGCTCTTCCGCTAGGAGCGATTTTCCGCGCGGAATTTGAAAATGTGACGTAGTAACATGAAAAGCTGCATGTAAGATATTATCTGTGTACAATGGTTAGAATGGTTAGTAGGGGAGCCGAAGCGGGGATTTCGNGTGCCAACACTGTAATGTACGTCATAGGTGACACGTAATGTAGGTCATAGGTGACCTGTTATTTATTTATTTATTTAAACTTTTATGCCAAAATAAATTTGTACATAAGGCGAACTTAATGCACTAAAGCATTCTCGCATTAAAGCATTATTTAGGCCGTAGGTAACCTATTACTTAGGCCGTAGGTGACATGTAATGTAGGTCATAGGTGACCCGTAATGTAGGCCGTAGGTGACATGTAATGTAGGCCATACCTCGGGCTGCAGGTAGGCGGGGTCGCGCGGGCGGTGCGCCTCGGCGATGCGCGCGCGGAAGATGTCGGCGGCCTGCGCGTCCTCCAGCACGCGCTCGGCGACGACCTGGCTCATCTCCTTCAGCATTAACTTCTGTAGATCTTCGTAAGAGATCTCGCGGGGCACTTGCATTGCGTAGGGCGAACCTGTTAAAAAGTTGCGACTATTTTACTTTTATAAACATTAAAAGGAGATAGACCAGCGGGGCTACTCCGTAAAACGTTATCCAAAGCTTCGAAAGTTGCCATCCCTCTCACGCAAAGCTAGAGGTCGGCACGAGGGACGGTGACAGATAGAACCGAAACTGAGTAAGCAGCGTTTCTTAGTAGCCTTGCAGTTATATGATCTGAGATCTTCAGAGGAAATTGAGGTAGGACGGGCCGGATAGGTACTCCTAGAGATGTAAAACGAAGTCGTGGACACCAAAAGGTAGTGGGAGTATGTCCTAAGATTAATAGCAAGGAGAAGGGCATCACGAGATAGAACCCAATGGAAAACTTCGGAGAAGGCCTATTCCAAGAGGCAGACTGAATTAGGGGTTATGTCAGAAGTTTAGAATGAAAAGTAGTGCATAAAATTATATTTTTAGTGACTTCTGCAGCGCGAAATTCGATGCACGATTAGAAAAGTGTTTTTTAATCATGGCAGTTCAATTTATATTATTGGCAATGCTGTTATCTCCAATATATCCACAGAATGTGACATGGCAATAATGTACTTGATAACACAGTTAAGTTTCAAAATTTAAAATTAATTGAATAACATCTAAATCCACATAAATAAGGTTCAGAATGGCGATTATTTTTTTCCATACGCCAGTCTCTGTCTATCCATTTATGTGCGCGGAAGTAATACAGGACAAGGTCACAACGTTACATATTTAGAGCTGTATACTCATAGTGAAACTATCAACGGTCGGCATATTGACCTTGACACTTAGTGCTATTCTAGAACAACGCCATTTTATAATCGCTATTAATTATAGTCAATTGGTGAATGTTGCGGATCTTACGATACTCGAAAAAATGTGTGCATTGCATCAGAAAATATACATTAATATACTGATTGTTCGTTTATCCAGAAATACTCAAATACAAATCATAAAAGAAACTATGAATTGAATAATCACAAAATGTAAAGAAAAAGTAAGGCTATAAAACGACATACCAAATCGTTCGCCGTCCAGTAGGTTGACCCAGAGTATAAGTAAATACGGCGTGGTAGGCGTCTGAAGAAGAGGCGGCGCTTCCATGCAATACAGAGCGCCGAAGTCCATGCCTGCGACCTCCCAGCCGGCTCGTGCGTTACACCATCCTATAACAACATAGCAACTCACCAACACGAAAAGATAAAACAAGCGCATTAAAATTATGTATTTCTATTTCATAGAAAATAGTGTATCACGGCGACACATCGTCTGCTGCTGTTGTTTGTTGTTAAATAGGCTTTACTATCTAACTTTTGGTTTACATTTTTAGTTTTTCAGAAACTGTAATTTTCAATATGAGATGCTGATGATGAGATATTACTCAAATGGATCTGTTTTTCTGGCGACGTCAGATTTTCAAGTTACTTCGACCTATTTAAATCAGATTTTTTTGCCGTTTAACCGCTAAAGACAAAGCGAAGAAAGAAAACGTAAGAAAATTTAAATATGAAGAAGACTACGCAAGAGCTCGACACTGTTGCACTTAGCCGGTTTTGCCTCAGATCTTTACCTGTTTCATTAATTTCGGCGAGTATTATGTGGTCCCGATCGATACCGGTGTCGGTGTGCAGTGTCGTCCGCAGGTCGTCCATCGTGGCGGTCGGTGTCAACTCTACACCGATACGCACTTGGCGAGGCTGCTGATTCACGTACACTACCTACAAAAACAATGTAATAAACCAATTAATATCATACCTAGAATGGTTTTAAAAATGGTGTCTTCAATTTCAGTTCATGACAATAATGCTATCATTTAGGTATTACTACTTGTTAAATAAGGCCTGGTTCAGACAAGCGCGATAACCGCGCGGTTTCTTAGTTCTCATGGACGAGGTACGAGAACTTCCCGCAACCGCGCGATTATCGCTATATCTGAACCAAGCCTTATGCTTCTTGTGTTCGAACAATACCAATTAGATCTAAATTCAAGTCAATATATTTGTTAAATTAATTTCTTTTGTTATTGTAATAATTTATTTTTTCCAATAACAATTTTTCAAAACAATATAGAATATTGATCATTCTCACATTGACAGGTAGTGGTGATGGTTGCACTGTCGCGAGCCTTGAAGGAAGCTGTACACTGACGCAATGAAATGGGTCGAATGTGCAAGAAGTGCGCTCGCACTTGGCACACGTCAGAGCTGACCTGTAACCAATATGACGTATTATTAATCATTATTAGCATTGTAATTTATCCATTAATAAAGTTACAGGATAAATAATAGCAATTACTAATTTGAACATTCCATAAGATAACAAAATGATTCACAGGAAAACAGATTACACATTTCTAGCTAAAATGATAATGTTATTTAGGTAATATGGATATGATAATCTGTTGACTATTTGGTGGAATTATGTTACATAAAATTATTCTAATAGTGGTTTGATATACAAGTTATTTATCATTATAATAATGTACCCAAGATGCATAAAAAAGTAGCATACTAGGTCAGAAATACTTTTTGTTGGCATATTGGTTTTGAATAATTTAATTTTATTACCTGTACTGTGCCTGAAACACAGCTTGAACAAATGAACTATTTCTCCGAGCATGGTTTGCCAAGGTTTCTGCAGCGACAACTTCATCTGGTTTACCACAGGTGTTCTAAAATTTTAAAACAGAACAATATTTCAGAACTATTTTTAGTCACTATCACTATACCTGTTTAGCTACTTTGACATATTAAATACCAACTTTGATTGTTTTATATTTTTTCTTCGTAGCTGTGTTCAAGTCTTCATGAACCTTATCTAGCAACCAAAATAAAAATTCTTGTGCATCATGTTGACTATTGCCTCTGTACTGAGTTCCATGCCTTTCAACAGCTCCCTAAAAATGCAAGAAATTGGAAATTAATACAAAAATAAACAAAATATTTTGGACTATACAGTTAGAGGAGAAATAATGAAATACAAGATATATCGTAAAACAGAAATTATACCTTAAACATAGTGCTCATATCAGGCGTGTAATGGCAAGCCCATAAAGCTTTCAGCAAAGCTGCCAATTGCTCAGTAACTTCTCCACGAGTTCCATATTTTTTAGAATTTATTTTATTACGTTTTTGGAGATCCACCTACAAAAATTATAAATTAATAAAATCTTTGAGTAAATTAGGTGATACACCAACATTAGTACTCAAAAGATGCTTGCCTTATAATGATCTAATACAAAATATTCGGCGATAACATCAGTATGCGAAAGGCACTGTAGTACAGCATTCATGTAACATGTATTTCCATGGTTTTTAATACCCGTGGCAGCAGGAGTGGCTCCCGGTGGCCATGGAGGATCCCCGCTGCAAGGAACGCGCTCACCATTCATGACTGCTGGGGGTGACTTGACCTTAAAAACCACAATAACAATGAAATTTCAATGTCTTACATGTAAATATTATGTTAATAAAATTGTATATCACGTCATTTACGTTCAAATTTTTATTTTGCACTATCTGTAATTTATGTCAAGGTCCCCTATATTAAGGATACTAATACAAACTTGAGGACGCAATATCCTAAAGAAAACATATTATACTCACTCCGGAAACGTTAACAGTGCTCATATGTTGGGCTATCTTATTTAAAAATCTTTTCCAAGACGGCCTTCTGAACAACTTCCTTTCAATGCCACCTTCATCTTTCTGAGGCTCACTGGCTATGGAAGAAGCACTCGTAGGCTTGCTTTCAGTGTCATGGACCTTATTCTTACTGGAAGTAGGCTTTGCTGTTCCAAATGGATTTCGAGGCAGTGTAAAAGTACGCTTTAGTCGGGAGCCTTCCACTTGCTTTGGTGTCATAGCAGCATCAGAAACTTCATTGATAAGTTCACTCTCCGAACAAGACTTCATTACAGAGGATAAATTATTGGTAGACATAGTAAAACAAAACTTATTTAATAATTAACATTTAAACCTTATTTTTAATAAAAAAGAAAACCAATTAGAAAACTTTGTTATGTCTCATAATGACATAATGCGCCATTTTAATCTAATTTCTATAGTCTATGGTGTTACTGTCGTGTGGTCTGTGGACTATAGTCTATGATGGTTAGGCTAGGTCCAATAAAATAAATAACAAATAATTAAATTAGAAAGAACGATTACTTCAAAAACTTCAAACGAGAAACATGTATGATTGTAACGAGAGTCATCACACAAGCAAAGCATGGATTGGTATCATGAAGCTAAAGAATCAGAATTGGTATTGACGTATTTATTTTATTGGTATACAATTAGTCGCGCTGAGCGTATTCTGACCATAAAGTTAATATTCCTTCGGAAGGAATATTAACTTTATGATTCTGACAGATATTTTGAATGTTGTGTAATTTTGTATTCAAATATTAGTATTTGTATAATTTGTGATTATTTTTTCACCTCAACTTTTAATGTGCGAGGCGACAAAAAATATTTTACTCAGTGCATCTAAAAGATTTTTTTATCATTTTTCTTTTTTACAATCTAAAATATTTTGTTGTACCGTGTATTATTGAGTTTCCTGAAGAAAAAAAAACATTTTCCTATTTATTTTGACAGTTGTATTTTAGTGGTCGGGGAGGATGTATGTCAAACTTGTGTTTTTTTCTCAATAGGATTAATTTTGCGTAATTTATTGTATCGTTTGAATTACTAGCATTTTATTCAGGAACTGCTAAAATATGCGACAATTTTAAGTGCTGTGTGAGTGAAATTGTAACCACGGTATTGTATTTCATAAAAATATTTCTGTTTCTTAATTTTTATGCTTTGTTGTCCTAATATTCTCATCAAATTATTATTATACACAAATAAAAAATCGATTAAAAGTGACGCAGGCCTTTCATCAAAGAGGTATTGTATTTGTTTATATCGTGTAAAACAGTGTTCAGCGATGGCGCACTGAAATCTATTTTTGATTCAACTGTTGGAAGACTAAAAAACTACGCACTCTAGAAATTTTACTTCCATTTGCTACTCTACACGATGTTATAATAACGTTTGATCGGATTGATTTATAGTACCCACCTCGTTTTATGTTTGGCCTTGTATCACCTGAGTTGGTCTCTTAAACATAATTTGGAAACATTTGATCAGGAATGCACAATCGCGTTAATTACTTACAGATGGCTAGATAGTCAGCATATTAACTTAAATTATGTTTACATGCTGTTCTACTTGAGTTTACTTCAGTTTAGTAAGATTATGTGCATAGTCATAATGTTGGCAAAAACAATTTTTGCAAACTCATTTTATGGATTCCAAAGAATTATGTGTTTTTGTTTAGCCTCAAATTCCTAAAATGTGATTAATACTATTATACAATATTCTAATATTAATTTGTTGTTAATATTGGCTGACTCTACATTAATCTAATTTATTTAAACCTACTTTATTTTTAGGATATCATTATGCCTGCTTATGAGAAGTTAAACCTTCTTATATGGAAGAACCTCCTACTACAAAGGAGGCACAAATGGCAGACTTTATTTGAAATTGCTTCACCTGTTATATTTTCATTATTTCTTATACTTGTAAGATGTTTGGTGGACCCCCAATCAAAACCAGCTATTTCATATCCACCATTCCAACCTACTTATTTCAACATGAGTGGTCAAAGCCTGTGAGTAATTTTTATATTTTATTTATTTTAATAATTGATAATATGTTGCTTTTGTAATTTGAGTCATTTGCTTTACCAAATGTTGCAATATTCATTCCATCATCAAATCACACATTATTGAGTTTTTATTTCTAATACTATAACCTTGCTTAAATGGGGAAGTAATAATGAAAATGCTTTTATTTGTATTGTCTCTATTTTAGAGGGAATCTCACAACTACCAAAAGGGAAGGGACTTTAGCATTTTCTCCTGAGAATCCTCTGACCAGAAAAGTGACTGAAGATGCTATGGCAACAGTGGCATTGGACAATCTCAATGGCTTACTGGCTCTATTATTTGACACTAAAATGTTACCTCAGCCTAAGGGTTTCAAGAATGCAGCTGAAATGGGGGTGGCTTTGACTCAACCCAATATTATGAATCAAATTCTAGTTGGAATCCAGTATGATGACAGTATGGCAAGTAAGTTGAATTAAAGTTGCTGTACATATCACCTAAATACAGACCTCTCTAGCTTTTGCCCACTACTTTGCCTGGGTGGATTTAATATTGTTATAAATTTCAGCCTTTATCTTGATAATCAGCTGTAATTATAAAAAAAAATACTGTAAAGTTTCATTAAACCCGTTCAGTAGATTTTATGTGAAAGAGGAACAAACATCCATCTTTTGCCCGCGTTAATTTCGGTCTGTCTCAGAACGTTAATATCGCGCGAGTATCCCCTTTCTAAAAACCGGCATAAATACTAAGATATCTTATGTATTCCCTGGGTGAGACTCGCGAACTATCTAACTGTATCTCTACTAACATTCATCTAAATCGATTCAATGTTTTAAGTATATTCTTTATCACAGTAATAAATCGCGAGCTTCTTATACTTTTAGATTAAAGATTAACTCATTTCCCCTTTCTGAATGCACACTGCAGATGTAAATTCATATTTTGCAAACATACAATATTACGATTATGATTTCGTAATCCTGCGCCGTTTCTATGGTTAGTCGGTATTAACAGGACCGTTTATAAGAAATAAATAATAATATAGAGATCCAAAAAACTGTCGTGTGAATGTTAAACCAAAACTCCCACATTATGGCAACATCCCGAAATAAAAACGACAACGGACACGGAAACGGCCCTGTAAACAGAAATCAGTTCACACAGATAGATATACCCCATACTTAATACTTTAATACATAGCTTACTGATTGATTATAGTATTTTTTCATATAGGTACGAGGGGCGGCTGAAAAGTTTTGAGCCTAGGCTATTAAAAATGCCGATAGAAAAGTATAAAAAATATATTTTTCTATTTAATCTCCCTCTACTACAACGGACTTCTTACATTTGTGTAAAAGAGCTTTTAACCCACTGAAAAAAAATTCGCAATCTTTGCCTTCGAAATGAGCCTTTAACGCCGCCTTCATTTCTTTGTCACTCAAAAATCTTCGTTCCTGGAGGACTTTTTTCCAATTTGAGAATTAGACAAAATAGCTAGGGATTCGGACTAAACTGTGTGGTGGGTGATTAATTTCTTGAAATCCAGTATTACCCGGGGCAAGTCATGCAACATGCGCGGTGTGCACGGGCGAATTGTCTTGCAATAACAGATTTCCTTTCACCAGTTTGCCTCTTAATATTTCAACAACCACTTGACGTACTCTTATCAGCGGTACAGCCTATCTGCATTTACGTTTTACAAGGGGCCGATTACGATGTTAGAAAAGCTAACATAGGACTAGGTATTATGGATTGTACGCCTCCATAAACTTTAAATAGGTACGTGAAGAATCTATTATGTTTCTTTGATCATCCGATGTCCCCTCCGTCAATCAATTGTCAAGCATTATGATGTGAAGCTGTACCTATTAACATTTTGTAAATCACAGACACCTACTACCTACATGTAACACGCAAATTTTCTATAGTGCCTACTCGTAATAGAAATTAGAAAAAAAAACAGAATCGCTACATGCATAATATGCATACTATGGCCAGAAATTGAAAACGGCTACATCAATTCGAACTTTGATAAATCCGAGGAAAGTTCCTATCAAAATTTAAAATCTGTAATCCACGCGAGCAGAAGTCGCCTTTTCTTAAAAATACGAACATTTCAGATGCATCCAAATGGCCAGATGACATAGTAGTAACGCTCAGGTTCCCAGCCGTCATGAGAACTCCCATGGTGGAACACCCTCTTAGAGCCAGCTGGAGGACCAACCTTTTATTCCCTTTGTTTCCTCGACCAGGACCTCGAGATGCTGATGATATGTACGGTGGAAAAACTCCTGGTAAGTTTTATTTTCCTCAATTTCAACCTATAAAGCAGCTTTGCGCGTCATTTGTTATAAAGTTTTCATTTTTATTTAGAGAAACTTGCGAAAGTTTCAAAGGTATATTCACATTAAAGTTTTCGTGTAGCAGAGAAAATACTATAGTACTTACCTACTTACGTATTTGTACTTCAGTATGTTGTAACTGTAGGTATAACGAAGAATGTATTGTTCTATAAAGTAAATAGGTAAGTAGTTCATTTGTTTCCTTGACTTACAACCGTTTGAGGTTAGTAGGTACGCCTAAGTATCAAACTTTAACCTCAATAAATTCTCGATTGTACGTAAGTATCTTTCCTATACATGTCGTTTTCTTTAATGAAGGCGGGCTGAAAAATACGCCATTAACTAAGTCCTAATTTCGTATAGAGACGTACCTACTTAAATATCAACTCTATACTAACATTTACTTTGCTCATTATTTTAGGTTATTCTCCCGAAATGTTTCTCGCCGTGCAACACGCCGTTTCGAAAGAGATCATAAAACAAAAGTCAGGAAAACCTCTTGACACAAAAGTTTATCTGCAGCGGCTGCCACAGTCCGCGTACAGAAATGACGACCTGCTAATAGCTCTAGAAAGATTCATTTCCATGATAATAATGCTGTGTTTCGCTTACACTTTCGTCAATACTGTTCGAGTAGTCACTGCAGAGAAAGAACTACAGCTGAAGGTAAAAATTATGTTTCAATTTTAAATAACAACGAGGAAAACACGATTTATAATAATTATGCAATGCGAAAGTTTAAAGTGATCATTATAATTTTCTAGCCTTTTAAAATCACTCAAGGAGAACCGCTTCAAATATTTTCTTTTCTTTTAGGAAACAATGACAATTATGGGTTTACCTTCGTGGCTTCACTGGCTTGCGTGGTTTATTAAACAGTTCTCTTTCCTTTTGATATCGGTCGTCCTTATGGTTATATTATTTAAGGTAAGTGTTCAAAGACAGAATATCTATATAGATCATGGATTTTTCAGATGTTTTACGTGAACTGAATTTTCAATTTCAGTTCGTCATTGAAACTATGTATGTTTTT